CTTCCTTCTGCAGCTGCATCTTTACTCCAGTGAGTTATTATATCATGGACCGTGGCAGTGCCAGGATTTTTCTTACCAACTTCCATTCAGTAGGCAGATGGCAGTGTTGATGGCCCAGAGCTTTTTAGTCTCCCAGCTACTGTGTGCATTTCTCCAACCTCAACAACATAACTTCTCTGTAAGATGCTTCTGTGACATTTTACTGTTTGGCTTTGAAAGAGCTCATCATGTGTACATTTAAAATACTCAATTCCTTTACCTTTAAAACGCTGATTGTTCTTAAAATGCTGCAACTTACTGGCATCACAACAGCATGCAAAGATGTTCAGTTCATAAACACAAACGGCAAGGTATTAATACCTATGAAGCCCAGGGAGAGATAGCTTTTGTCCTGTTTTTGTTCATATTTACAGTTTTTCCTAGTTTTTCTGGAGTAGATTCCTCCCTTCCACAAGTCAGAGAATTCATATATATCAGTTTATTCTTTTTAGCATCTTTAGATTTAGGTGGTACTGCTATGGGCTGAGAAAGTCTTTTCCTTTTTCAAGTCAATGATCCATACTTAAATATGAAAAACATATTATAAATGTTCTTTTATTTTAAAAGAGCTCATTAAAATCTAAAGTAACAGTTGCAGATACAATTTAGAAAGGTGCTGGGGAAATTTTTAATATTATTGTAAGACAAGGCAACAAATTATACTTACTTCTTGTTGTACTTCCGATTTAGGCACAAGGAAAACTTAGGGATTTCAAAGAATGACTTATTGAATGATACAAAGTTACAGTAATTAGAGCAGGTATAACTAAAGACAGCTACTAAGAACCTAGTAGCAATACCAGGAACGTAATACTCTCTAAAAATGCATTGTCAAAATTTATAACAGACTTAACCAAGACAGGAATTGGTAGGACCTGTGGGAGGGGCTCTCTTGCGCCCTTTTTTGGTTACCAAAAGCCCTGCAGAAAAGAACTCCAGGACTAGAGCAGAGATCTAGGGTTAGAGCAGTCCCTTCCCGTCTCGTCCTCTTCCCCTCGGTAAAGAATTTCCCGATTCTTGCCAGTGGCTCTCCATGTCTGCATGTATCAGATTACAATTCTTCTTCTGACCCCTTTCCCAACCCCATGAATCTTTTGTGCAGACAGAATGCCTAGTTGACTTTCTATTTAGGGTAGACAGCACATTAGTTACACTATAAACTTACTTCTTTACAAAATTCAAAACTGACAAGACAATGACTCCCGGCCAAAATGGAGGCATAGATAGATACACTTTGCCTCCTCACATAACCAAATGAGGGACAACAACAAATTTAAAAACAAAAAAGAACCAGAACTACCAGAAAATCGAACTGTATGGAAGTCCGACCACCAAGGAGCTAAAGAGGAAACACTCATCCAGACCGGTAGGAGGGGCAGAGATGGGCAGCCAGGGCAGCGGCTGGAGGACCAGGCAGACCAGGCGGTGGCTGGTGGACTGGGTGGTCCCACATTTGGGTGCAGATAAACCAGGAGGGGCAACTGGGGAGTGAGACAGAGAGCACAACCCAGGGTTCCAGCACAGGAAGAGAAAGTCTCTAAACCTCTGGCTGTAAAACCCTGTGGAGGTTGTGGAGGTGGGAGAAACTCGCAGCCTCACAGGAGAGTTCGTTGGAGAGACCCACAGGGTCCAAGAACGTGTACCCAGGAATCAGCACCAGAAAGGCCCAGTCTGCTTGTGGGTAGCAGGGGAAGTGACTAAAAGCCAGCAGAGAGCTGAGCAAGGGGCACTGTTCCCTTTCTGACCCCTCCCCCACATCAGCACCACAATGCATCGAAGTGGCTTGTCCCACCCTGGTGAATACTTAAGGCTCTGCCCCTTATAATGCAACAGGAGCTCCAAGACAAAGAAATATGGCCCAAATGAAAGAACAGATCAAAACTTCAGAAAAAAATACAACTAAGCAATGAAGAGATAAGATAGCAAACATATCAGATGCACAGAACAGAACACTGGTGATCAGGATGCTTACAGAACTGGTTGAGTATGGCTGCGAAATAGAGGAAAAAAACAAAGGCTATGCAAAGTGAAATAAAGAAAATTTTACTGGGAACCAACAGTGAAGGGAAGGAAACTGGGACTCAAATCAATGATCTGGAGCAGAAGGAAGAAATAAACATTCAACCAGAACAGAATGAAGAAACAATCCAAAAAATGAGAGGCTTAGGAACTTCTGGGACAACTTTAAACATTTCAATATCCAAATCATACGGGTGCCAGAAGGAGAAGAGGAAGAGCAAGAAATTGAAAACTTTATTGAAAAAATAATGGAGAACTTCCCCAGTCTGGCCAAGGAAACAGACTCCCAGGAGATCCAGGAAGCTCAGAGAGTCCCAAAGAAGTTGGACCCAAGGAAGCACACACCAAGGCACATCGTAATTACATTACTCAAGATCAAAGATAAGGAGAGAATTTTAAAAGGAGCAAGAAAAAAGGAGACAGTTACCTACAGAGGAGTTCCCATAAAACTATCAGCTGATTTCTCAAAAGAAACCTTGCAGGCAGTAAGAAGCTGGAAAGAAGTACTTAAGAGTCACAAAAGGCAAGGACCTACATCCAAGATTACTCTATCAGCAAAGCTCTCATTTAGAATGGAAGGGCAGATAAAGTGCTTCCCAGATAAGGTCAAGTTAAAGGAGTTCATCATCACCAAGCCCTTATTATATTAAATGTTAAAGGGACTTATCTAAGAAAAAGAAGATCAAAAACCGTGAACAGTAAAATGACAACTTAGAACTATCAACAACTAAACCTAAAAAAACAAAACCTAAACAACTAGAACACGAACAGAATCAAAGAAATGGAGATCACATAGAAGGTTATCAGCAGGGGGGCGGGAGGGGAATGGAGGAAAAGGTACAGGGAATAAGAAGCAAAGCTCAGATAAGGTACAAAATAGACAGGGGGAGGTTAAGACTAGTATAGGAAATAGAGAAGCCAAAGAATTTATATGTATGACCCATGGACATGAACTAAGGAAGGGGGAATGCTGGGGGAAAGAGTGGTACAGGGCAGAGGGGAATGAAGAGGAGGGGAAAAATGGGACAACCGTAATAGCATAAAAAAATATACTTTTAAAAAAAGACAAGAAAACACATTCCTTTAGCCATCAACACAATAATGTCATCCCTACAGTGTGTAGCCTCTGAAAAACTCCTCTTCTGTACATTCATAGAGAGTTAGAGTGAAAAAAAGCAAATGTCATGCTACTAGTACTACAGAATTATTGTTATGGTTTGTGGGCTACACACTGAGAACCACTATTCTAAAGAACAAAGTTCTTGGCAGATTCCCCACTGGCCAAATAAGTGATGCCTCAAGCTCTCTGCAGTTCATCAGTCTCTAACAGGGCCTGAACCAAAAGGAAAGGGAGACCACCCAGAACAAAGAGAGGAGGCAAGAGGCTGCACATTGTGACTTGCCATCCGTTGCTCCATCCTGCCCAGAATGCAGGCTGAAGGGCCTGTGTCACCAGGGGCCTCCTGAAAACGCCCAGGGCAAAGGCAAGTGGGCTTCTGGGTCCCCCACACGCCTGCAATGGCACTTCTCCAGTGTCCGGATCCCAGCCACACCCTGGGATGGACTAAACCGGTGTCCCAGGAAACTCCTGCCAAACCACGCACAGACCTGCATAGAGCATGTGGCCCACCAGCACTTAACCTGTTTTGGTCAAAGTCCCTTCCCTCCTTTCTCAGTACATATTAATGCTCCTAGTAATACAACTTTAGGAAATACAGATTCCTGAGAAGTGTAGAGTACTTCTGCTGGCAACCATCTCTACTCATTTTTTGTAGACACAGTGATTTCTACTGGTACACACCCTAGCATCACCCGTGTGCCGCTTTCCCGCTGCATCTATCTTCCCCTTACTTTCCACATGACTGCTCCGAAGTCACACGCATCCTCACGCTGAGCCAATCCCTCAAATCCTGCCCTGCTTCTCCTTCCATCCTCACGCAGCCTCCTACCCCAGCATGACTTCCAGGAAGACACTGTCTTACCACACCCCTGGGCTTAGGCTCCTCTCTGCCCACACGGAAGGTGAAGCCACAAAAATTCATACGGAAAATGTCAGGGTGAAGCAGCTCTTCTCAACATCACCAAGATAGAAAACAAAATAAAAATACAAAAAGGTTTGACTTGGTAAGAATTTTCAACTTCCACACAAAAACATACACAAAGAGACCAAAGAGATTAACTGAAAAAAAGTGTTTGCAAAACAGACAACAGAGAAATATTCTTGTCAAAGGCTCTTAAAAGTCAAGTTTTAAAAAAATGGAACACATACAAGAATAAAAATAGTCAAAGGACACAAAATAGCCTGAAAAATAGATATGTGGCCAATGAATCTAGGAGATGTTTGGCTTGATAAGAAGGTAAACACAAAATCACATGGGCCCGTTTTTAGAGGTCAAAATGCTCAAGGGCTGGGAAGACCGCTGGAGAAATGGGGGTTCTCAAGCACTGCAATACAAAGCACTGCCTTCTCAAATGTGTACACCTTCACTCCACCTGCCACCCCCGGAGAACTATTCCACCTTAGAAGAAATATTCAGACAAGCAGGAAAAGCTATGTGCAAAGGATGACTTACAAGAGCAAAAACTCTGGAACACCCCAAACATCTCACCATGAGGGAGTGGTTATATTTAAATTATGGTGAATCCATGTCTGAACAGACACCAGCATGCCTGGCCTGCTGAATCCCAACAGCGAGGGCCTGGAGAGTCCCAACCACACTCATTCCTGGCCTGATGCCTCTGACTACCCACTCCCAGTTGTACCTTTTGAGGGGCTCACTGCAGAGTGTTAGTGGCGGCTGTGGGAGGCTTGAGGTGGTGTGGAGCCTCACAGGCAGTGCTGGTGAAGGCTAGGACGCCTGTTCTGTTTACCACGTGTTGCGTTCCCATGTATTCCGCTCTGCATTTCTAAAGGAGCACTGCTTTTGCCTATAAATTCTTACCAAGGGTTTCCACTGGCCTGCTTCTCCAATAATAGCTTCTTCTCGTCTTCTGAAAACTGTAAGTCCAGTTCAAAAGAATTAGTGTCCAGGTCATGGATATACTGCTCGATGTTGCTGCCTGCTCTCTGCGGCAGACCCGTGTCTGAGGCAGACAGGGAGTGGGAGGAGGATGACGATGACACCTGCATGCAGCCAAACTGGCTCAGGAGATTGTCATACTGCACAGAAAAGAGGGAAAAGTGAGAACAGTGCCTTAATTTTTTCTAGGGCCAAAGGTAGACACACTCCGACCTACCCTGTACCAGCAAGCTCACAGCCTGAAGGTCCCAAAGCTCAGATAAGCCTCATAGTCACAGCCCAGCTCTGCTTCTCCTGGTACGTGGGCAGCTCTGATTTCTCATCCACTGGATGGCTGGCCACTGAATCAAGGCAGGGCTGGATCCTGCCCGGCCTGGGTCCCCCTTCTGAGGGGACCATCAGAAGATACTTGTCCCAGAGAATGGCTAACCCGCAATCTCCATCTCTAGGAAGGGAAGACTTCTGCGAGCCCCCCACGCTGCCCCAACTAGAGGGGGTCAGAATGCCTTCTGGGAAGAGGAGGAATGGGCACCTAGTGCCTGTTAGGACCCACCCTGCTGGATGCAGAGGCTCAGTGGCAAGACCCTGGGAGCTCAGAACCCTCCTCCTTTGACCCCGCGGTTCTTTGTCTGAGTCTGTGGCTGTTACTACATATTCCAATTTGACTGTGTTCGGTTTTTTTAAAAAATACTCCTTTAATCTCAGCAAATATTAATTAAGCTTGATATAGACGAAGTTGCCTGCCATTCTAGAGAAAGCTACAATCCACTGGTGACAAAGAAAATGGAATGACTCAAAGATGGGCCAAACATGCAGGGCCTGTGCACGCGCACACTCCTTGGCTGCCGAATGAGCCACAGCCCCAGCAAAGACCTGGGGAGAAGTGGACATCCGGACAGTCTGCCCCACCGTGGCTAACAAAGAAGAAAAGGAAAGATGCTACCAGGAACAGGCAAGATGAGAGTGCAGTGTGTCCTTCCAAGTCCCCTGTGCCTCCAGAGGGGCGGCACCTTCCCACAGACCCTGTGTCTACCTTCCCCAAGTGTTGCCCAAGCAGCCTTCTCCCATGTGGACACACAGCTCCCTCGGCCCTCCCTCACTGGCTCCCAAGAGGAGTGACCCCAGGACACTCCTGTCGCCCCTCCATTTAAGGCTTGGCACATTCTCCACGTCTTGCCTGCAAACTGCCTGGCCAAGGCCACCTCTGAGCAGTGCCTCACCGTTTACAGAGGCTTCCACAGCCTCTCTGGGTGACTCAGTGAGCCTTGTGAAGCCAGTGAGACGACTGTTACCATCATCCCCATTTCTGAAACAGGGAAATGAAGCTCTGAACTGGCCCGAGGTCACAACCCGAAGACCAACACCAAATTCAAAACTAGTCCTCTGCTCCTTTCCAATGCAGTGTCTGCCTCGCTCTCATGGCAGAACTGCTGGATGACCACCATGACCTCTGCTCGCTGGGGGAGTCCTGTCTTAGGGTCTCCCTAAGGAAAGCTCCAGATGCTCTGTCTCTGCACTCTACTCTTCTCCCCCATCAGCAGCACCTAGGTCAGACCAGCAGCATAAAACCCCAAACCCAGGAAGGACACATGACAAGGGAGGACACTGCGCTGAAGTGGAGGTGCTCACCAACGCATAGTAAGGAAACACCTGACTGTGCTGAACCCAGAACCTTTCTCCAGGAGCACCACGCCTGGCCCAGCCCCCTTGGAGTCCAGACACAAGCATCACCATCAGCTGCCGCACAGGGTTAGAAATGAAGATGAGGGTAGGGTTCTTGCTCTTTCCATTCCCTGAATAAAGAGAGTTTCTGCTCCTCACAGAGGGAAGTTCCCTTCCTACTGAAAAGGACACTAGACTCTCTTGGAGTCTCATGGATGGTGAGGCTGTCCCCTCCATGACATAATGTCAACCCCTGCAGAAAGGAACTTGTGTGTCTCCTTGAGCAGGTTTCCTTTGTATTTGATACTTTTCCAGGCCAAAGTCATTTTCAAGGCTCACTAAACAGTGCAAATGTGAAGTGTGATAAAGGGAAATCAGCCCGAATACTTTCCAAGGCTTTCAAAGCTGAGGATGAGCCATCTAACAAAAAGTAAGCTGTTAACATGTGCAGCCAGTTTTAGATGGCAACACTTGAGCACTGAGAAGCGAGAGCTCTCACCATGGTGAAGGCAATGAAACAGCAGATAGAGGGCCTGAAAAAGAAACTCAAGTGTGTGTGTACACACAAACACACATGTGTACACACTCACACACACAAAACACGAAGCCGTGTTCCCAAGGCACTCAGATCTGAGAAAACTGGGGCCTAGGCAGCTCCATCAGAGCTCAACCAGCAGGGTGTACTGCTTTTTTGGAACATCCCTGCCAAAGGCACTAGAAACACTAACATGCTCCTGCTGGCTGTGACTTAGGAATGACAACAGAGCTGGGGGAGGAGCTGCGGCTGAGCCCTCTGCAGTTTGTGCACACGGAGGCTGCACACAGCTACGGCCACTGCAGTGCAGAAGCAGGCCAGGCTCTCTTCAAGTCTGGGCACAAAAGATATTTTAGGACAAGCAAAGGGGGATATGTTGCTTACAACAGTAGGTCATGGATATAAGGAGCTCTTGATCTCTGAGAGGTGATACTAGTAGTAATTTTAACTCCTAGATAAAGTCTAGAATTCCCATATCAACTGGAGTGGAACGCTACACATAATTGGTTACAACAAGTACAATGACAGAACTCACACCAGAAAAATGGACTATCAATGATAATAAAAACACTTAAAGATGGGTGGTGGGTGCACTGCAGCTCATTGTACTCCTGTCCACTCCCATGTGCTTCACATTTCCCATAGAAAAATTTGAAGAACAAAGTGCACTTAGACCCTACTTTTGAGATCAAGCTGGTGACTACACCTTCCCACACATGCCCAGGTGCTGCACCCCTTGGGTCTGTACCACATCCTTGCTTCGACCAGGCACTAAAAGCTGACACTGACTAGTGTCCATCCTCAATGCCATGTCCCCAAAAGTTCCGAGCAGCAGAACGCCAGGCTTCTCTTAGAAAGATCAAAAGCGTTCCAGAATGTCTTTAGACACATGACTACAACAGCACCGGCCAAGAGCATAAGACAGGTGTCACCAGAAGACTTAGTACTCAGGAGCCCAGAGGGGAAAAGTGGAGGATGGAAGGTGCTACTCCCATCAACTACAGACTCCCCCACCCAATGTCTGGGTCTGGTTTGAACCCTATGGAAAAAAATTAACTAGAAGAAATGAGGTAACAACCCCAGGGCCTGGTGACCTGCACTCAGGGTGAACGTCCAAACAAAAGCCTCCTTGGGCCCAGCCTTGCTGAGAGACTCAGACTTGGGCTGCAAAGTGTACAAATACCAACCAGGTCTACGCTGGCTTTCCCTTGAGCCATTCATCCCACTAATCAAAAGTCCTGTAGCCCACAGGCACAAACTTCCTATGCACAGAGGAACCATTTTCACAAAGCATGATAAGCAGAATTCTTCTCTGTCTGGGCTATTCCCTACACACATGAGCCAGCTTACATTTCCATAGCAATCTTCGTCATCTTCTGACATGGCTGGTAAGTAAGCTGTGAGTTTCGGAGGTGTCTGATGATGCAGATTCTCCCACGTGATGGACTCAAAGAATGGATGAGCTTTCAGAGGGCCGTACCCTTCCATTTCTTCACAACCTAATCGCTTTGTGGCATCTAAAACCTTAAATGAAAGTCAAGACAAATCAGTGTTGGGATTTAAAAGTAATTCTGAGCCCTAGCTGGTGTGGCTCAATGGATTGAGCACCAGCCTACAAAGCAAAGGGTCACAGGTTCAATTCCCAGTAAGAGCACATGCCTGGGTTGCAGGCCAGGTCCCTAGCGGGGGCAGGGGTAAGATGCAACCACATGTAGATGTTTCTCTCCCTCTCTTTCTCCCTCTCTTCTCCTCTTAAAAAAAACTTTAAAGGTTTTTAATCTGATAAAGATTTGTTTTGAGTAGTTCTTTTCAATTCCCAGTATCTCCTAGAACCAGAAAGCGCCCTTGCCCCATCCCACCTAGTCCCACCCTGGGCCACAGACAGAATGACCCGCAACAGAATGAGCCGCCCTCTGGGATTCCTTTCACTTTTCTCAAGTTTCTGCTCCTTTCCTTCTCACAGGTAAAAAGGAATACCAACCTCAAAATTTAATAAATAGCAGCAAGTATTATTTTAAAATATACAGCTGAAAATCCTAAAACAAGAAAAAGTGAACTGACTGGCTTTATTAACAAAGACAACAAAGAATTTTTCTGGATAGTACTCTATCACAGCTGGGGAGCAAAGAGCTTGTATCTCCCACCAACACTTGATCTCTCAGGGCCCCACAATTGTCTCTTCCAGGATGTGGTTGCATCCCCCAAGCCCCGCTACACACAGATCAAGTGTACCCTACCGCTGAGGGGACAGACATAGGAGGGACAGGAGCGAAGAGGCAGACTACAGTATTCTCCCACTGCTGAGGCAGGACTGACTCTGCTTCTTCAAGATTAAGGTAAGGGACAGTTTAAAGCCAAAGTACCCCACAGATAGGGACCGTGCAATTTCTAGAACCTAAGACACAACTTTTCTGGGTAAATCTGTTTACCTTCGCTATATTACCTGGGTTGATCTTGAAAACCTCATGTAGCTGACTCTAGAGTCAGTATCCAGTATCCACAGACATCACTAAGTAGGATTTACAGCCTTCTTCTATTGTAATACATGACTTGCTCCAGCATCAGGCAACTTAAAATGTTATATATGTTAATGAGCAAATGCAAAATCATACAGTAACTTCCTGTCTGATTAAGGTCAAGAATCAGGCATTTGCAAACTGGAAAGGGCTCATGATGAGATGAGATAGAAGATACAAATCCAATCACTACCAAACCTAAAACAACCTTTTATTAAACACAGTTGCCTTCAGGAAAGCCTCCCTGGCTACAGGTTGAGAGGGACTCCAGATACGGCTATTCAGATCATCTTACCAGAAGAAAATTCAAAATATTTACCAGAAGTTTTTCCACAAGGTCTCTTGCCTTAGGAAAGAATTTTTCAGGAAAGTCATACTCCAACTTAATGATCTTCTGAAATATAAGATATTCATTTCTGTAAAATAAGAGAAACCATTATTCTGGGTAGGGTCACACAGACCTCCTAGAACAGAGCTCTACCTTTTCCTGGGACAGTGGTCTCCCTCTCTCCCCACAGAGCCACTTTATTCCTTACAGAATCACTGTAGAAGTCCTCCCACCTTGCTTGCCCCCCCGCTACCACTTCTTTGGCTGCTCCAATGGACTGAGATGTCTGGGTGTGGGTGGGTAGAAGCTGGGGGTTGGAGCACTGGCGGGGCCGGGGCGGCGTCTCTTACCCAGCTCGGAATGGTGGCAGTCCCGCTACAAGCTGGTATATTATACATCCAAGAGCCCAAAGGTCTGAACTTTAAGGGAGGAAAAAAAACCACAAAGAATGACATTTGTAAAATTTCAGTGACATGCACAGTTCCTTTCCGTCCCCTGTTCATACCACCCCATTTCCACCTCCGATCTACTGCTTTCTTTAAAGAAAACCAGGCCAGTGTGAGGGTGGGGATCCACTCCAGGCCCTACTTAACGGGGAACCTGGGCCCAGAGGATCCTGCCCAGACCTTCTTCCAGTGCCAACGGTTAGGGAAGCACTTGGGGGATGGGGACTGCTGAGACTCTTTCATAACACAATCAGTGTTCATCCCTAGGACAGACACAAGCTCACATACACCAAGTGGTCAAATGAGACAATGTATAGGATGTGCACAAAGTAAGCTTTCTCTTTCCCTTCTTGGATTCCAAAACCATGCCTCTTCTTTATAAACATTTAATTACATGCTTCAAAAGAAACACGCTGCAGTTCTAAATTGCCCTAAGTCATTTCCAGAGCCAGCTGGCAGGAACCCTAGGGGTGAGGCGGCACTGCTCTCCTTGCCCTGGATGTCCCCTCCCCAATTCCCACCTGCACGTATCCATTCTCTGTCCCCGCAGTGTCATTTCAGAGCTCACAGTTGACATCTACTTTGTATATTTGATTTCCTGTGTAGGTGTTGCATTCTATTCCCAGCTTAGCCCCAGGAGAGCATCAAGATACTCCTTGCCCTGCACTATCAGCTGCCTCTCCCTATTCTCCAGCTCTAAATGCGTGCAGGGCTCAGGGGTGGCTGAATATAGTCAGTTTCTGAAAGAGGCCACAGCCTGGTATCTGAAAAATGAGCTCAAAGGGCGTGTGTAAAGACAACAGGCCAAATGCAGTGCCAGGGACTGGTCCAGGACAAATGAGGCTCCTCTTGATGTGAGTTAGAAATGTAACAGGTCAGAAATTTGAGTCACAACATAGATGGAGTGAAGGGCATTTAAAAAGTGAATCTACATTCTACAGAGCAACTAATTTTTACACTTGGTTTTTTGTACTGTTTAGTCTAATTAAAATAAGATGCTACACAAGTAAATCACCTACAGCAAAGCACTGACCCTTCTGTATGGACGCAGCCAGAGAGGATGGGCAGGGCTGTGGAGTGGGGCTGCCTCTGCTGCTTTACAGGGTCATCTCCAGGGAGGAGGAGTGCCAGCAGAACCTGCTTTGGGGGTAACTTTCTACCTTGTGAATTATTTGTATGTTTTACCATCGGTGGGTATCTTATCATTTAAAATGTTTTTTAATATAATAAAAGCTAAAGGGGAAGCCAACATAACATTTCTAAAAACCAGTATGTACCAAGGATTTTTAAAATGTCCAAGTCAGGTAGGCCAAGTCATTCTACTTATATGCAGCAAACAATAGGCATGCCAGATTATACCAAGTAAACAAAACTATGTCAACATACAATGACAAAGAGTTTGATAAACAACAGTAAATCATATGCTAGAAAACCAACTAGCTGTTAAAGATGACTGTAAATAATTTTAGTGACAAGGGGAAATGCTCATTATATAATCACAAGGATTATATATTTAATAATTAGATAATAACCATTATATATTTAATGGTTATTAAAGAACCACTCAAAACTAGTTATTCAATATGGCTCCAAGTTGCATAAAAATTATATAAACATATATAAAACCCATAGAAAAAAATGACTGGGAAGATGTACCTACTCATTATCTGTGACTTTAGGTAGGCTGGTGACTCTGAATGTTTTTGTATTTTCATTCTCCAAATTTTCTAAGAATTCTTTTGAGTGAATATGTATCACTTTTTAAAAAAATATATTTTATTGAATCAGACGCGCTGAGAAAAAGAAATATGGCCGAAATTAAAGAACAGATCAAAGCTCCCAAAATAGAACTAAGTGATGAAGAGATAGCCAACCTATCAGATGCACAGTTCAAAACGCTGGTGATCAGAATGCTTACAGAACTGGTTGAGAATAGTCGCAAAATGGAGGAAAAAGCAAAGGTTATGCAAAGTGAAATAAAGAAAAATTTACGGGGAACCAACAAGGTGAAGGGAAGGAAATCGGGACTCAAATCAATGATTTGGAGCAGAAGGAAGAGATAAACGTTCAACTGGAACAGAATGAAGAAACAAGAATTCAAAAAAATGAGGACGCTTAGGAGCCTCTGGGACAACTTGAAATGATCCAACATCCAAATTATAGGGGTGTCGGGAGAAGAGGAAGAGCAAGAAATTGGAAACTTTATTGAAAAAATAATGGAGAACTTCCCCAATCTGGCCAAGGAAATAGACTCCCAGAAGATCCAAGAAGCTCAGAGAGTCCCAAAGAAGTTGGACCCAAGGAAGCACACACCAAGGCACATCACAATTACATTACCCAAGATTAAAGATAAGGAGAGAATCTTAAAAGGAGCAAGAAAAAAGGAGACTGTTACCTACAAAGGAGTTCCCATAAGACTTACAGCTGATTTCTCAAAAGAAACCTTGCAGGCAAGAAGGGGCTGGCAAGAAGTAGTCAAAGCCATGAAAGACAAGGACCTACACCCAAGATTACTCTATCCAGCAAAGCTGTCATTTAGAATGGAAGGGCAGATAAAGTGCTTCCCAGATAAGGTCAAGTTAAAGGAGTTCAGCATCACCAGGCCCATATTATATGAAATGTTAAAGGGACTTATCTAGGAAAAAGATGAAGATCAGAAACTATGAACAGTAAAATGACAACAAACTCACAACTATCAACAACTGAACCTAAAAACAAAAACAAAAACAAAGAAGCAAACAACTAAAACATTAACAGAATCACAGAAATGGAGATGAGAGGAGAGAATGAGGGAGAAGGTACAAGGAATAAAAGCATAAATAGTAGGTACAAAAAAGATGGGGGGGGAGGTTAAAAATAGTATAGGAAATGGAGAAGTCAAAGAACTTATATGTATGACCCATGGACATGAACTAAGGGGGGGAATGCTGGTGGGATGAGGATGCAGGTGGGAGGGGAATAAAGGGGAAGAAAAAATTGGACAACTGTAATACCATAATCAATAAAATGTATATTAAAAATATTTTATTGATTGTGCTGTTACAGTTGTCCCAAATTTTTCTCCTTTGCCCCCTTCTACCCAGCACCCCCCATTCCCTTCAGGCAGTCTCCACCACTGTTCATGTCCATGGGTCATGCGTATAAATTCTTTGGCTACTTCATTTCCTACACTGTATTTTACATCCCCATGGCTATCCTGTAACTACCAACCTGTACTTCTTAATCCCCTCACCTCTTTATCCATTCCCCCAAACCCACCTCTCATCTAGTAACCATCAAAACGCGCTCTGTACCCATGATCCTGTCTCTGTTCTTGTTTGCTTACTTTTTTCAATACAGTCATCAGTAGGTATGTGTTTATTGACACTTTATTATTCATAGTTTTGATTTTCTTCTTTTTCTTAAGTTTCTTTACCATTTCATATAATAATGGTTTGGTATTGATGAACTCCTTTAGTTTTTTCTTTTGTGGAAAGCTCTTTGCCCTTCAATTCTAAATGACAGCTTTGCTGGGTAGAGCAATCTTGGCTGTAGGTCCCTGCTTTTCATGACTTTGAATATTTCTTGCCACTCCCTTCTAGCCTGCAGTTTCTTTTAAGAAATTGGCTAACAGTCTTATGGGAATTCTCCTGTAGTTAACTAACTGCTTCTCTCTTGCTGCTTTTGATTCTTTATCTTTAACCTTTGGCATTTTAATTATGATATGTCTTGGTGTGGACCTGTTTGTGTCCATCTTGTTTGAGACTCTGCTTCCTGGACTTGTATGTCTATTTCCTTCACCAAATCAGGGAAGTTTTCTTTCATTATTTTTTCAAGTAGATTTCCAATTTCTTGCCCTTTCTCTTCTCCTTCTGGCACCTGTATGATACAAATGTTGGTACACTTATAGTTGTCCCAGGGGCTGCTTATATTATCCTCGTTTTTTGTTTGTTTGTTTTTTTCTTCTTATTACTGCTTGGTTGTTTTTTGTTTTCTTATGTTCTAAATCATTGACTTGATTCTGGGCTTCATCCACTCTACTGCTGATTCCTTGTAAATTGTTCATTTCTATTGGTACATCCTTCATTTCTGCCTGGCTATTTTTTATGCAGTTGAAGTACTCACTGAGTTCCTTGAGCATCCTTATAATCGTTTTGAAGTCTGCATCTGATTGTTCGCTCATCTCCATTTTGTTTAGTTCTTTTTCTGGAGTTTTGTTCTGTTCCTTCATTTGGGCCATGTTTCTTTGTCTCATTTTGGCAGCCTCCCTGTTTGTTTTTCTGCGTATTATGTAGAGTTGCTATGACTCCCTGTCTTGGTAGTGGGGCCGGTTGGGTCCAGTGGCACAGCCTCCCCTATCACCCAAACTGGATACTCGAGGCATGCCCTCCATGTGGACTGAGTACACCCTCCCCTTGTAGTTGAGCCTTGACTGCTTTGGGAGGTCTATAGGATCGATTTATCCAGGCCGGTCAGTTGCAAGGACTGGCTGTGACCACTGATCACCAACCTCTGCCGTCTGTGGAGGATCAGCTGTGCAGGGGCAGGGTGGTGGTGCTCCAATGAATGGAGCTTTCAACTGGGTGCACACATGCTCTGGGGTTTCCTGGGAGGTGCAGGTCAGGGTCAACCACCACCTGTGTTTCCCCCAGGGCCACCCAGTGTGAGCTAGCTACAAAGCAATCTGCAGTTGGCTGCTACTTGTGTTGGGCTTGGAGGTTCCCAGGGGTGGAGCCAAGCTGTGATCCAAAAGCTGGCTGCTGCTAGTGGTGGGCGCAGGGCTGCTTAGTCAGAGGTAGGAGGTTTGGGGGCAGCCTGTAAGTTGGATGGGGTGGAGACTAAGGTAAACGCCAGCACAGGACAAACAGTGTTAGCCAGGTTGATGGAGTCTCAGATGTGGCTCCCAACTTCCTGTTCTGTGGCTCTTTTGGGGGAAGGCTCAGAAAAGGCACAATATCCTCTGCCTGTCTTTTTGTCTGGGAGAGAGCTGTCCCCAACTCTCGCCCTGATGCTCTTCAGTTGCTCCCCATAAGTCACTGGGGCCTTTCAAGCTGCTACCTTGGTGGTGCTGGAGCTCAGGGGGATGCATCTGAGTCAGTTCAGCACAGGCCCTTTAAGAGGAACTGCCACAGAGTCTAGTAGGTTTTTTCACTGACTCAATCCTGCTGGTTTTTACAGCCAGAAATTATGGGGGCTTATCTTCCTGGCGCTGGAACCCTGGGCTGGGGGGCCTGGTATGAGGCTGGAACCCCTCGCGCCTGACATGTTCCTCCCGAATTTTTATCCACGGCAAGTGGGAGCGGGGACCCATCTGTTCTGTGTCTCTGCATCTGCTATCCTTCTGCATGGATGTGGTTTTTTAGTTACATAGTTGTCAGACCTCCATTCACCCTGATTTCTGATGATGCTGAGTGATCGTTGGTCTGCAATTTAGTTGTAATTTTGATGTGGTTGTGCGAGATGAGCTGTCTTTACCTACACCTTTTTCTTAATCGGGAGTTCCCTATATCACTTTTAAAATCATTTAAAAATCTTAACTATTTTTTAATATCATGTGTTAAAAAATTAAAAAGCATAAAAAGATATACATTGATATCTGCCTCACAACCCTGTTCCCTCACCATCACAGACAACCACTGTTACCCATTCCTTGTATATACTTCCACAGAGTTATAAATGCATGAACAAATGGATCTGGGTAGACATTCTCCCTCCCGTTTTCACACAGAAGGTGGTCATTCTGTATCTTCCTTATCTCATTCAGTAGCGCTTGGAGACCATCCCCCATCAGTGCTAATGAGCTGCCTCATCCTGTAAGTGAACTCAAAACTGAGGAAAAGCCAGCTCTTAGGCAGCAGTGACATACACTTTGACAATCTAGCCAACAGCACCCACTGCACCAAGGAGGGTATTTCAGCCTCAGCACTGTAGACATGTGGGGCCAATCACTCTTGCTGTGGGGACATCTCTGCATTGCAGGCTGCTGAGAATCACCCATGGCCTCCACCCGCTGGATGCCAACAGCACGCCCTCCCAACCCTCACCAAGTTGTAACACTAAAACTGTCCACACAGAGCCAAATGTCCCCTGGGAAGAACTGTCCCACCCAGGAAGCCCTGACCTACCACAGCAGCTGGCCCTTGGTAAAAGTTCAAAAATCAAAGAGCCTGGAGTCCCCGTTTTAATCTTTTCAGAGCATCCTTCATCATGTTTCTGCCCTGTGGCTTAGCCCTTAAAGAGTTTTTTAAAAGCTGTTACACTCAGAAACACAGAGCTGTGGTCCCCAGAACCACTCACTCCTCTGCGGCCTCTAGCACTGTCACTCTGACATTCTAGGATGGCAGCCCCTTGTAGCCTGCCAATCCAGGTCACTGACCCTATGACCTTCCATCAACTCAAGGGAGAGTGCCAGCAGTCCACGTGTCTGGCTGGCTCGGGCAGGAAGAATCCAAGGAAAAGCTTTAACCATGGAACCTGTCACCGCCTGGAACTGCTCCCCAAACTCCAAAATCCCAGATTCTACTGCTACTTCTCAGTCTTCCTCCTGTCTCATGCCTACACGACAGCTCCCCAGAACCCTTCTCCACTCTTCAGATTTCTGCATTTGTGAGCAAAACGCCAGCCCCACTGAACTCTACACTGTAATTTACTCTGCAATTACCAAGGTCCTCAATTCTGCAGCTACTTCCAGGCCTATCCCAGGTCTGAGCATTGAGCAGGGTTGGCTTGCCCTGGCTGGGCCCCTGCCAGGAAAATGGTTCCGTCCCCTCCCATACCCGCTGCCTTCTGGGCCTCTTCCCACAGTCTGCCGGGTACATTACACTAAACAGCTGACCTGCGGCTGCTACCAAGGCCAATCTGCCAGAACTGGAGGCAGCATCAAGGATCCATGGGCTCCAGGACAAACAAGAAGCCTCATTAAATAATACAGACCTGTCTGCCACACTTCTCCCCAGTGAACAGTTGTTCTAAGGGAACAAGATCCATTTTCAAAACACAGAGCAACAATCGCCCTACGACGTATAAAGTAGAACAATAAAGTGGCACATTGGTTCTAAAAGAAAGATTATTTTAGCATATTGGTTAAAAGGCAAAATGTTAACTTCTTCCAAAGCAGGTTTAGCTATATAAAGGCCATGAAAGGCACTCTCTTAACTATTAATTTCACATTAAAAACTGTATTAGATACTTTAGAGAAAAGAGAATTATGGATCAGGGAAAAAATAATGGATAAAAAAAAAGAACAAGAAAAAATTATGTTACCTTTTACAAGCCGATTTCTCTGTGAGCAGCTCTGGAGAAACATACTGGGCTGTTCCTACAAACGAGTTGGCCCTGGCTGATGAGAAGAGGAAAATGGTCATGATGAGACACAAAGCACTTACAATCATGGACATCTGCCTATCAAGACGTGATAGCTGACATGGACATCAACTGGAGCTTTCTGTCAGCACAGCACTGGTCACTTGGAAATAGACTGTACAATCCCAAGAACCTTTCTTGTCCAGGGCCCACTCTTCACACCCCATTCGGAGGCCCTCTCCTCCCAGGGCTGGCTCAAAGGCCACCTGCTCAGTGATACTTGCCCTGACTACCCAGGGTAGCTCCTCCTGACCCCGCCCCCGCTCATGCTTTCCTGGTGCTCCCCCCCCATCAACACTAGACTGACACTAACCCAGCATTCTCTCAGCTGGAGTGTCTTGAGGAGCCTGTGGTGCCTAAAACAGCCCTGGACATTGAGCAAGCATACAACGAACACGCACAGAATGCAGGAAAGGACTGGATCTCCTGCAGACTGTGTGCAGGGTGGGAATACTATCTCCTTGTAACAGACTGCTCAGGGAGATCAGGAGCTATAAAGAGAATGAGACTCACGCATCCTGGCTGGGGACACTCTGCAACATCCTGCTGCCTCTAGTACTGGACTATGTGACACAAGACTCACAAAGGTCAGCTGCAGACCTGGATAGGGTGGCAACAGGACCCTTTGGAACTGCCCATCACTAGAAAAAGGAGGCACTGACACTCGTGTCACCCCAGTAGCCCCCAAGGACCTCAGGGACTTCATCCATGGCCATAGATCCCTGACAAATAACCACAGGCAAGAGCCATCTGCCCCACCACACTGCTCCTGAGGCATTCTCCATGTGGCATCCTCTGGCCTAGGGCCTGCACAGTTGTTCTCGGCCTTTCCCCATGACCAGAGGATGAAGGATCACGGGTGCTGGTGTGAGCACCACCCCCCATCCAATAGCATGTTGACTTTCTAAGGAGAGCAGCCACATGTCATTTATATCAACCTATCTCCAGTGACCTTCCAGGCTGGCACTGTGTAACCAGCAGACATTTGTTGCCTACCTTCGGGATTGAAGGAAACGTTAGATTTCACTCAAAGTTTAATAAAAATCAGTAATTTTCTCCTCTCCAGCTGTGTGGCTGTCTGGCTTCTGTGACACCAGGGTAAAAGCTCCAAAGAGAGCATCAGAAAACCAAGGAGGTCATCGTCACCCCCACCTGGAAGTTTAGATACACGCCAAAGGTCAAACTTCTTCGGCTACTGGAAAATCAGGCTCAGAACCCACGGCTGGTCAACATGGCCCCCTCCGTGCCACTCATCCCTCACCTGTGGGCCATGTGGTCGGGGGAAAGGAGAAGGGTGTTGGACTGGGTTGTTGTCTGCACCCTCAAAGTGGTTCAAAGAAAGTGACCAGCATCCTTGGCCATGGACCACTCTGGCCACCAGAGATCTGTAAGTCAGACTAAGATGCCAGTAGGGAAGAAGGGACCTAACGAAGTGTCTCTGACGCACCCGCACTCTTTTCAAGCCAGCAGTACAGATGGCTAGTGTCTTACCCATAAACCCACACGTGAATCACAGCAAACATCCACAAAATGTGGTTGCCTCTTGGACAGAAGATGAGAAAACGGAATACCACACACATAAAAAGGAGTCTGCAAGTGAGATTTATCCCAGGAATGCACGGCTGATTCAACATACAGAAATCAACCAATGAAGTACATCATAGCATTAGAATAAAGGACAAAAACCACATGACCACCTCAAGAGATGCAGAAAAAGCATCTAACAAAAATTCCACATTCTTCATAATAAAAACACATAAAATAGGAACAGAACAAACCCCAACCTGATAAAGGCATGTATCTATGAAAGCCAAGAGGAATGTTGTAATAATGAAAGATTGAAAACGTTTCCCCTAAGATCAGGAACAAAACAAAGATACCACTCTTGCCATTTCTATTCGACACTGAAGTGGAGGTTCTAACAGGCAAGAAAACGAAATAAAAGGAATCCAGATTAGAAAGGAAAAGGTAAACTACCTCTAATCACAGAAGACATGATCTGCATACAAACTTTATCACTGTATGTTTAAACACTTGCAATGAGCAATCTGAAAATGAAAGAAACAATTCCATTTACAAAAGCCTCAAAAATAAAATACGAATAGATTTAACAAATTATAAAGCTTACACACTGAAAACTAGATTTTGAGAGGAAAAAAAGAGTTTTGAAAGAAATCACAAAAGACCTAAATAAACAGACATTCCATGTTGAAGGGTCAGAAGATTTAATATTGTTAAGAGGGCAATACAGACAGTCCCTAACTTAAGATGGTTTGACTTACAATATTTTAACCTCACGATATATAAAACCACACTTAGAATTTTGACCCTTTCCCAGACAAGCAATATGTGGGACACTGGGCAGTGACCCACAGGTCCCAGTCAGGTCCGCAATCACAAAGGTAAATAATCAATACTCTACAGTGTACCATGTTGCCAAAGTTTTTGGACATTGTGTTCTGAGCACATTTAAGGTAAAGTTGGCTAAACTACAATGTTCAGTAGATTAGATGTGTTAAATGTATTTCCAGCTTCCAATATTTTCAGCTTACATTGGGTTCATCAGGACATAATCCCATCGTTAGGTTGATGGGCATCTGTACTCCCCAAACTGATCTATATATTCAACACAATTCCAACCCAAATCCCAGCTGCCTTTCACTGAGCATAATATTTCCAAAGTTCGCCCAGACTGGAGCATGGAGCAGAACTTCATTCCTTTTCATGACTACATAATATTCCATTGTATGGATAGACCACATTTTATCTACTCATTAGTTGATGGTCACTCGAGATGTTTCTACTTTTTGACATTAGAAATAAATCTGCTATGAACATTCCTGCCCAACTTTTCATGTGAACATATTTTCAATTCTCTTGGATGTGCCTAAAAGTAGAACTGTTGAATTATAAGGTAACTATGTTTAACTTCTGAATTTGACATCCACACCTGAAAGGTATGGGAGGTTTTGTTTCTCCACATCCTTGCTAATACTTATCTTTTTGATCGTAGCCACCATAGTGGGTATGAAGTGGTACTTATAATGATTTTGATTTGCATTTCCCTAATGACACTGAGCACCTTTTCATGTAATTATTGGACATTTGTTTATCTTCTTTGGAGAAATGTCTTTTTACACCCATTGTCATTTCTTGGTGGGTTTTTGGGTTTTTTTGCAATTATGAGTTACACAAGTCCTTTATCAAATACATGATTAAAAATATTTTTATTTTCTATTCAGTTGGTTGTCTTGGTCCTTTTTTTAAAAAAAAGATTTTAATTATTTATTTTTTAGAGAGGGGGGAAGGGAGGGAGAGAGAAAGGGAGAGAAACATCAATGAAATGAAATGAAAGAAACATCAATTGGTTGCCTTTTACATATGCCCCAACTGGGACCTGCCAGTAATTGGACCAGCAGCAACCTTTCACTTTGCAGAACAACACTCAACCAACTGAGCCACACCATCAGGGCTCTTTTTACCCTCTTAATGGTGTCATGGTGCAAATGTTTTAAAATATGTTGTGGTCTAACTTACGTATTTTTTCCTTCTGTTGCTTGCACTTATGGTATTGTATGTAAGAAACCATTTCCTAACCCAAGGTCATGAAGATTTACTTGTAGGCTTTCTTCCAAGAGTGTTAATAGTTTTAGATCCTACATTCAGATCTCCAATTTATCCAAATTAACATCTGAGTTAACTTTTGTGTATGGTGTGAGGCAGGGGTAATAATGTTTCTGATGATTAGTCATCACCGGAGGATGACGGTGAAACAATTCATGGTTTTCAAAAATGGCAAATAAAGAGAAAGGAGCAAGCATTTATACTGTTTTGCCTCTACTGTTTTGCAGAATTAATAATATTAGTTAAGAAAATAGGTGCTACGGGGAAGTTTCTCTTTAAAGAATTCCATCTCATGAATGAAAAAATTAGACTATAATCATTCTGTATTCTCTACTGACCTAATGGATCTAAGCCACTATGGCTTTAAAGTGCTGTTGATATCATAGAAGGAGAGATTAATGTCAAATGCTTCCTAATAAAGAAGGCACCATCACCAGACTTTGGTGTGAGAGCACTCAACTTGAATGTGATCAAAGTGGCCAGCTCCAACTGCCAATTTACAGGACATACAAAGAGGAGAGGAACATGATACATGTCTCCACAGAGATACAGCAAGCAAACTCTGGTAAACTCTGTAAGATAAATGACCTGGTTTCTTCAACAGGCTGCAAGGGAAAAAATTAAGATGGAAGGGAAGCTACAGATTAAAAGAAATTTAAGAGACAAATTAGCTACACTCAAATGTGGGAACTTTATTTGATTCCTCATTCAAGTAAACCACAACCAAAAAAAATCATGATGTGAAATTATGATTGGAAATTTAACACTGACTATTTTGAAATATTAAGGGATATTTCAAATGTTATTTTTTATGTATAAAATAGTATGATATTATAGTTACTTTTTTTAAGATTTATTTATTTTTAGAGAAAGGGGGAGAGAGGAAGAGAAACATCAATGTGTGGTTGCCTCTTGCACGCCCCCTACTGGGGACCTGGACTGCAACCCAGGCACGTGCCCTGACTGGGAACTGAACCAGTGACCCCTTGGTTCATAGGCTGGCACACAGTCCACTGAGCCACACCAGCCAGGGCTATAGTTACTTTTTAAAAAGATGCTTATATTTTAATGATAAATAATAAAATATTTACAGGGAAAACAAATCAATGATGATGGGAATCAGGTCACATGTATGGTTTAAATTTTTACAAAAGTAGGTACTCTGTTTAAAAATAAGAACTCCATGCATCACAGCTATGACTAAGCAAATAAAAATATTGAAAAGACCAAAGTAAACCATTCCTTAATGGTTAAGAGTTGTTTCTGGTTGTGTAAGTATAGAGACTTGACTTTTTTCCTCTGTCATGTGAACTCTGTTTTTGTGGTGGAAGAAAAATCTGTTTTGAAGGCAGCTCCTCCAGAAAGGAAAGGGGGTGGCCCTGCCTGTGCTAGAAGAGTAGCAAGGCAGAGGCTGTGATAGAGCCTTGAGTCTACAGGACACCCAGAGAAGGGCTGATGCTGGTCTGAGGGTCTGGACAATGCCTGTCCACAGAGGGGCCATGCAGAGAAGGTGCAGCTCGAGTGAGAATGATTTCAGTTCTGAAACCTTCCCCCTTCATTCTCCCTCCAGCTGTCCCTTACTCCACCCTGGCCAACTCACCCTTTCTATTTGGTAAATGGAGCCTCCACACCTGGCTGCGTACCAAAGGAGCCTGCACAGCTCAGGACACAGTTTTCCAGGCACAAACCCCAAGTCTGAACCTCTGGGGCCCCCAAGCCACCCAAGCCTCTTGCAAAGGGGACAAAGGCCAGGGACACAGCCACAGATAGCTTCTCCACGTGATTAAGCTGTCTGAAACCTGGATATGTCTGTGGGACCCTCGTGCAAGATCAGAAGTCACAAGTCCTCTGTGCTATAAGTGCTCATCAATCCTACATGCCCTCAACAGTCCCTGCTATATCCTACCCTCGTCCATTACAGGCCCAGAGGCCACTCCGACCCAACAGGCAGCAGTGAGAAATGCCATGCTCACGTCCCTGCCGGGAGCAACCCACTGGGACAGAGGTCTGTAAAGGTGGACAACCTGCCTCTCACTAGGAGGAAAGTGAAACATGCTTACTAAAGAGCTAAAGAATCTGAGCTCCCACCAACACTTTCCTTCTGGAAACTTTAAGATGTTTTTGGGAAACCATCTCCACAAAAGTTTTTATAAAAAGCTAATACAGGAATAAATTCTGAAGTACTTCAAACAAAAAATGAGAGTAAGTCACTAAAATGAATCATTCACACAATTACATGTTTTTCCCTTTTCGTCTAGGAAGGGGGAAAAAAGTCAACTAATCTATATATACAAGCAATTCTCCCTGGTTTACAATATAAGAACTTTTAGCCTCCTGCTTCCAGGAGGGGGAAAAAAAAAAGCAAGTTTATTTCATCAATGCATTTAAATCCTTATATTTTTTTCAATGGCTGCAGGGAGACAGGACGAGCCTGTGCCAAATACCAGATTCTGAAGGAAATCTACATGAAGGAAGAAAGGACAGAGTAGACCTCAAGGTGGGTGGCTCCCAAGGCCTACTTGGGGGACCCATGGCAGAAGTCACATGAGGTGATGAATAGCCTAACAAAAATATTTGGGGACACAGCTGTTCCTGTTTGGTTCACCTCTGTCATGGACAATGCTACAGTTATGGGTTATACCATATCCATAGAAACATGATTATTGGTCAATAAGATGTTACCATGTAATAGGCATGGGTAGAATAGATCAAGGTTTTGGGGCATCTCCAGGTGGGGGGCCACCCATCCTCTGATACCCACGTGGGAAGGACGGAAAGGGAGCTACAAAAGGCATGCAAATGAGGCCAGGACTAAGACTTGTTGAGAAATAAGAGCATCTTCCATGATGGCAAGTTTTGTTTCAGCCCCAAAAGGGTGGTTCTTTAGGATTCTCAGAAAAGTTCCCAAATCCAAGACATTGTCTTGGTGATACAGTGTCTGTGCAGAGATTAAAGCACTAACTGAACCTTTAAAAAAAAAGTGTTTATTTATTTTTAGAGAGAGGGGAATGGAGGAAGAAAGAGAGGGAGGGAAACATTGGTCAGCTGTTTCTCCTATGTGCCCAACCAGAGATTGAGCTTACAACCCAGGCATATGCCCTGACCAGGAATCGAACTGGGACAATTCGATTTACAGAATGATGCCCAAACAACTGAGCCACATCAGTCAGGGTGCGCTCGCTGAATCTTAACTACAATCTTCAAAAGAGCCCTCTGCTTGAAAACACGGGGCTGGAAAAACACGGGACAGGAAAGACAAGGCACCCTGCAGTAGGAAACCCAAGGAGGCCCAGCCAGGCTCACAAGGTGCCTCCCAGCAGCACAGGTTTGTGTCTCTTCCCACACTTGGCTGGGAAAAGCAGACCCAGAGGTCAGCCCAGCGGCTGCCCAACAGGTTGTTAATCCAGCCACAATTCAAGTTCGATACAGAGGAGGCCAGCCCAGCTGAGCTAGAGGCTTTCTCAAATCAAGCTCCTCCCCATCATTATGTGGTGCTCACAGTCTGAGTCAGTCTTCTGCCAACAAACCTCGTACTCACACCCAGTATGTCCATTAGCCCAAGCACTTTTCATCAAGGTCTTCCTCTCATGGCAGACAGGTGCATGCAGTATAGGGCGGTCCCTGTGACAACCCCTTGGGTCAGTATGGCTCTGACAGTCAAAACTGTCCCAAGACCCAAAGTTCATTTTCAAGATCACTTATTAACTTGCACAACAGCCCTCAGCTTCCCCCAAACCTCACCATAAAGGGCTTTACTCTCCCTCTATGCCAACACTTGACAACAACTTTCAGAAGTAAAATGGCCATTCTTTATACTTCCAGAGTTTGATTTCCATCCAAAAAACACCTGAAGGGTAGGGAGAGCCCCTGCTGAAATGCCCCCTGGCTAGCTAACACACCCAGGACACTCTTCTGGCCCAACTTAGCAACTCCTCCTAGAGTGATAGGACTGTCACTCTATACAATCCAATGCCAGGAATCACTCTAGGGGAACAATGATTAGGACAGTTTACAATCAGAAACTTGCACCTGACCAGCAAGTAAAAATCAGCCCCTGTTGTATGATCCTGTAGAACCTTATACTATAATGGGTGTGCTGCAGCCACCACTGGCAGCTGCACACAGGAGGCAGGGCGAGAGACAAAAAGTCGGCAGGCACTGGGATACAGAGGCAGTTCACCCCCAGCAACCTAATTACAACCTGCAGTGCCAACAGGAAAAGCTGAGAGCTGATCACATTGACCCCACGCCCTTGCATGGGAGACCAGGTACCAATGTGGCACCCCAGCATCTTCTAAGACTAAGGAGGATGAGCCAAAGAGCACTCAAGGTGCTCAAAAGGACCTGTAAACAACATGCAGAGAAAGCCTGGTGACTCAGTACCCCCGACTCAAGCAAGGCCAGACAGACCAACCACAGACAGCCTAGGAAGCCCCTCTTTCTACCCAATACACCAGGAACACAGCTTCCCCTGTGAAAGCTCAAGTATCTATTTTATAGTAACAAAGATACTACAAACATCTGTCACTATGATGAATACAATGCAATTTACTGCATTGCTAAGAGGTTGTTTCTGAAGTAAACACTAAGCAGGATTTGCTGGAAACAAAGCACTCACACACCTTGTTTACTCTCTGGGGATAATACTTTTGCTGTTCCAAAATCTGTGATCTGGATGTGCATATCTTCATTTAATAAAATGTTTTCTGGTTTCAGGTCCCTGTGAAAGCAAATTTTTTACATTTGAGAGAAATATTTACAACGGTAACATTATTACATACTCTAAATTTTGCTGAAAAGAAAATGAACTGGTTAATACTTATAATCTTTACAGCAAAGACTAAAAACGAAGAGTGTAAGTCTGAAGTTCACAATGAACAAATATTAATTGCATACAATAAAGATATTCAAATTATATCAATTCATAATTGCATCTATCATTTTTAATAAACTTTTTATTGAAGTATAATCCATAATTTTTAACCCATTAAATAAAGGGCTTTCAAACCTATTGTGGTAATCATTTCACGATATATGTAAATCAAACCATCCTGCTATACAACTTAAATTTATATGTGACGTATGTCAATTATTCCTCAGTAAAATTGAAAAAAAGTATTAAAATGATAAGTTTTATATTGTGTGTGTTTTCTACCACAATTTTTAAAAAATCACTCAAAAAGCAAGGGGCGCTTATTTGAATACTTTCAATTTGACTTTATCACAAAGTCACGGAAAATTAGGCCAGAAGAAGTACACACAAAAGCTACAAGGGACAAAATAAAAGCAGCAGTCAAGATGGGTAAAAAAACTGTTAGCCTAATAAAGAAGTCGTATGAGGAATTTCATCTGACAGTTGAAGGTCCGTGAGGCTCTCTATGTCAGGGCGATGTGAACTCTTCTTAGTTCTTTCACATGAGGCATCCCACCCTCCATCAAATACACCAGAGCTGCCCCCCAACTTGTGAGCAAAGTCCCAGTCCTCAGCTTGATACCTGTGAATGATGCCCCTGCCGTGCAAGTACTCTAGAGCAGACACCATCTCGGCTGTGTAAAATCGGGTGCACGTCTCATCGAATGAACCAATTTTGCGAATGTATTTAAGTAGTTCTCCATTTTTGGCATAACTAAGGCCAAAATCTAAATATTGCACAGTTAAGGAAGAATGCAAAAGTACTTTTAAAAACTAACCTTAACAACCCAATAGGAATTTTTAAAAAATATTTTATTTTATCCATTTATTTTAGAGAGAGGGGAAGGGAGGGAGAAAGAGGAGAGAAACATCAACGTGCAAGAGAAACACTGATAGGTTGCCTCTTGCATGCTCCCCAAATGGGAACCAGCCTGCAACCCAGGCATGTATCCTTACCTGGAATTGAACCAGCAACCCTTTGTGGGACAATGCTCAGCCAACTAAGTCACACTGGTCAGGGCAGGGTTTGTTGGTTTGTTTGTTTATTTATTTATTTTTAATTAGTAAACACCTAAGGTATTTCTGGCCTAAGACCGCTGTCTTTCTTCAAGTCAGACTCTGCCATGGTCAGACCCATGGCCAATGGTAATCTGAGACCCCAGCTCCAGGGCAAGGCCCCCAGGTGTTCCTCACCAAGAACACAATGACATGAGCCTCTCAGCCCAAGTGCCCCTTCTGGACCCCAAAGGCCCCAGAAGGCACCTGTGGTCCCAATGAAGGAAAGTTGCCAGAGATGGCAATCAAGTGCCTCTTTGTAGGCTTTGGCCAAGGTGTATGTATGGGAGGGGGGGTCTCCGTCATAATCCAGTCTCCACACTTGCACAATGTGTATACCCTTACTGAGTACCAGCTGCATTCCAAATGTCGTGCTAAGAGTCAATTCATGTAAAGGCTTCTCAAATGAATGATCCTTTCCAAGCATAAAGTGACAAGTTTTGTAAGAGAAATGCCATTTTATTAACTTCTTGATTCAATCTATTTATTGGGCACCCACTGAAGAGAGATTCAAGGTACACAACCATCTCTCCTCTGGACACCACTAGAGTACGATGTTTTATTTCTCTTCTCTCTTTTCCAAGCAGAACTAATGGTTGCTAAAATAAATGGATCCCATATAACTTCTTTGTCCTAGAAACACCAAACATCTGTGCCCATTAATGGAAATCTACAGGTACTTCATTGCTCCCTGGCAGCCAAGGACAGAAAGGGTTTGGCTTGTGCTCAGGGTGTTCCATCTTGCTTTTATTTTCCAAGGTACTACCATCTCCCACCAAGGAAGGAACCTGAAGCTGCAGTACAGTGAGAACAAGCCTAGGAGGGAGGAACCAGCCCCCAAAGCTGCCTAAACCTGCCCTGCATCCGGCCCCACCTATGGCCACCCAAACCCTTCCAACTAGGATGTTTAACAGGAACCTGAAGCAAAAAACAAACCTTACTTCTAGGGAATGCAAAAGGTCTCAGCCAGGCCTCCTTCCTTCCTTGCCCTGCTCTGTCCCCTCCACAGGGAAGGCTACAGACTCTAGCCCACCTGACCTCAAACAGGAGCTCAATGCTGCCTGGGCAAGTGGCCCCACCTGGACTAGCCTAGTAGCTTCCCCAATTAGGAGCCTGCAGCCCACAGAGGCTCGGCCACAGCCACAGGGCCTCTTCCTGCTTCACAGGTTCTGCCCCTTATCTGACCATGCTCTGAGTTCCTATTTCCTATGTGAGGGACACTTCTAGTTCTCTCCTCAGCTGTGAAGCTAAGGTGACTGACAGGTTTTGAATATGATAGCTGCTGAGGATGTCAGCTCAAGCCTGTGTTCCCTTCAACCACACAAATTTCTCATCCTCCAGATCTTTTTCAGACCTCATTGGTCCATTTCCCATCTTAGAATGTTTCTCCCTCCCTCAGCAGAGCCAATGCCCCAGGGCACTGAGAAGTGTGTTCTAATGTATGGAATGGGTGAATCCCTGAGAGGATGAGCACAGACCAGGCCTGTAGCAGAGCCTGGTACACCCAAAGCCTGTACTTTGCAGAGGAACCTGGCCCAGAGAGGTTAAGCAACTAAACTGATTCAAGGTCACAAAGCCAAGGAGGGATAGGATTGGAGCCCAGCCTCCTGAGGCCTACGTACACTGCTCCTGTCCTTGAGTTGCAAGATGGGACACACAAGAATGAGCAGGTTCAGGGTGGAGGAAAAATGCAGACTAACCAAATAAAAGTCTCTGAAATCCCCCAGCCTTCATTCCTGCAGGAGGCAAGGGCATCTTTGCTATAGCCTGGGAGGAAGGGTGGGCACAGCAGCGTCTTGGAGTTCGGCTCCCCCTCCTGCAAGCAGGGACTGAATCTTGTCAGGCTGAATCTCCAGAGCCCTACTTTGCAGGCTGCCACAGGGGTGTCCCTAGGATCTGCCTCACCTGTTCTGAGGGGAGTTTGCCCCTGCAGTTGTTGCAGTCTCTCCTCAATGTATACATTATGGCTAAAGGAAGAGGGGCATGCATACTGCAGCTTTTCTTCAGGCAGAGAGTTTCCTTTTTTTTCTCTCAATACAATGTATGTCACTAAGGATTTCAACTGGTGCAAAAGTCCTTGGGTTCAGGGCCTTTCACAGGTGGTAGAGTTTCCCTTAAAATTTAAGAGCAACAGTTACTACTGGACAAAGACCTAGAGTCCCCTCCACCTGAATAGCTTTGGGCAATCCTGTCTGAAATCAGACAGCAAGCTCACTCATCTAGACTCTGAGCTACCTAATCCCACCACATGTGACCCTGGGAGAAGATGAAGCCAAATGTGTGAGATCTGTTGGAGCTCCCCAACCAAGAAGATGCATTGTCTCATGGGTCCTACGGAAAGCCCAAGCCCAGTCCTGCAGAAAATCTGGCAGTCAGAGATTCCCCACATGCTCCAGGAGGAACACAGTCACTTCGGTCCCAGGCACAAGAAACCAGGGATCAAGGTGGCCTCGGAGGTGAGAGACACTGAACAGATGTCAAAAGGACCCTTCACCGTCTGTCCTCAGGAGACCACTAACGGCTGCTGCATAGCACAATAGGAGAGTGGTGGGGACAAGGAGTGATGCTGGAGCCAGGTGGTGAGACAAACATTCTGTAACACCTAAAAAAGACCAGCAAGGAACTCCCTCCTCTCCCCACATACCCTTGGCTACTAGACTACTTTACTGCTCCCCTTTACAATGAACCCAGGTAGGGAGAACCTGCCCTGTGCACTGTCTGTTATTTCCTCACCTCTCTCTCAAATCCTACTCCCACTTCCAAACTGCCACTGTCAACAACGTGCACAGGGGACAATCCGTAAGTCAGGCCCGGGCCAAATGCTCTTGACCACTCAGCAATATTGGGCCAGGCCTCGGCATCCTCCATCAGAAACAATTTGGCCCGGTGGCCCTTAGGTCTATGTCCTCTCAACTCACCGGCGACAAGTCCCCTTCCCCACCTTCTAGAAGGATCCCTTCCGCATGTGAATCTCTGTGAGTGGGGGTGACCCAGGCTCAGGCCTCGGACAGCTCCCCCTACTGAGTGTCCTCTCACAGTGGCTGGCCAGGCTACTATGGCAGTCCTAACGCCTCCCTGAGCTCTGCTGGCAGCAACCCAGCAGCCCACTTGGCCCTCCGGCAGGAAGCACCTATGGATGTGTCAAATGCCAATGTGACATCGCTCCTGGCCTGGCCTCTCTCCAGTCTCTTTCTTCTCAATGATAGCCCCACTGTGCACCCAGGTTCTGAGGTCCACGCCAGAGAGCCACTGGGACTCCATTTTCCCCTCACTCATTCATTTATAAGAACCTTCACTGAAGCAGCAGCCAGAGTGAACAGTTGCCCTGCTGGAGGCCTTTGTGGGCTCCCTGTCACACTCAGAAGAAAATCCAAAATCCTCTCCAAGCCTCTGAAACTCAAAGAGCTGAACTCTGCCCAGCCTTTCGCTCTTCCCACACATACGTGTTTATGTCCTTGTTCCACCTGGGTCTCTGCTTGGTATTGTCAACTCAGACCACCAAGCTCAAACAACAGCAAGCTCCAACACTCCTCTACCTGGCTTTACTACTCTCAGTCCCTCCAAGTCTACCATACAGGCACTGCTCACCTGTGTTAACTAATTCCTGCATGAAAATGTAAGATCCATGAAGGCAGAGTTCTCACATTATTTACCAGCATATTCCCATCACCCAGAGCTCAGCAAGGACTTCTCAATAAACAAAAGAAAATATTCAGTTGACAGGTGATGAAGCCAGAAAATGGCGTTTAAGGGGGAATAGGACAGATCAAAGTTTTAACCCAGAAGAATCTGTGTGTAGACTGAAGGGGAAAGGAAGCCTGAACTGATGGGGACAGGAGATGGAATAGGCAAATCCTCAGACACTGGACCAACTTTCCAAGTAGGGTTGTGAGGCGAAAGGGCTTCGAGACCTTGAGGACATGAGAAAAAGAACAGATGCAAAGACTGAGGTTTAAACCTAGACGAGCGTGGAACCAATTCCATTTGACAGTCCAATCTCTCTCAGCGGAGTAGAAAACAGTATCATCTGCAGGGATTCAGAACAGAATTACTAGGCAAACAGGGGCTGAAGGAAGTGTTGGTTTAGAAGAACAATGGCAGGAAAGGGACTAAAGAGTGAGGAGACACTGGCCAGCCTGGTTGCAAGCCCAGGGATAGGCAGGACCAGAGATAAGCTGCAAGATAGAGACATGTGGCCCACCCTGACTGCCATGGTGCCCTGCCTCCCTGATCCCTAAGCAAAGATAACAGAAAAAAGACAATACTTCAAGGGTTAGAAGAGAAGTCAGAGAACCTAAGATGCCCTCAAATAAAGCAAAGAATCAGCATGTCTGATGTCTCTGATGGAGATGCAGCTTGCACAGCTGTGGAGAGCCAGAGGCACTAAGTGATGAGAGATTAAAACAAACAGTGAGAGCAGACTCCAGGGCGATGCCACAGGGAGCAGGAGAAAGGAAGCTGAAGATTGCATAGAAGGGAAAGCATTCAGGTACAAGGATAAAGGGTCTGGGATCCTGTGGACCACTCCTTGGACTTCTAACCTGAGGGCTAAGCTTGGTAAAGATGTCCCTTCCAACCAAACATCACACATCTGAGCCAGAGAGGGCAGACAGGTGCCCACCTTCAAGGAGCCCCAGATGCCCAAGATCATTCTTCCTCTCTCATTTCCCTGCTTTCAGCACAGGACGTGACACCTGACAGATAACCCAAGAATGCTGGTTAGAGGAATGAGGAAAGCCTCTGAATAAATGTATAGCTACCATATTAAAATAATAACAATCCTTTGGATACAATGCTTATCAATAAAAAAAAAATCTAAAAAAATGTTTCGTGACAGTCTCCCTTCAAGTAATCCCAGAGGGCCCCAGCCATGCTGTGAATTCCTTTGTATTTAGAATATACAGCCCTTCTCCCTTCTGGGAGAAGGGGCTACTTGCAAACAACAATGGTGTCATGATGCCAAAATAATAAGGGGTCACTATGTGATTTCAGAACGCTTTGACTATTCAAAGGATACACAGCTTTTCATCATCCTGAAACGTGAAGTAAAGTTTAACAAAGAAGGGGTGATCCAGGCGCGACATCACGTCTCTCTCTCTGGTTACATACGGGACCTTGTTCTCTTTGATAATGTGACGTTTCTCTAGAATTTTAACTTAAGGTAAGAGAGAAGGGAGTTACCACGATTTGAAATGGTAAGGAAATACTAAAGACACAACTCATAAAGGTAACTGGTATATATTAAAGTTTTTCACACAATGAAGCCACTGGCTTCATGGTCTCTTAAGACAGACCAACAGTGTCCTATCCCCTAAAACCAGCACAGAAACCCCTAAGCACTGGGCAGCCAGGTGGCTGTCTGCCCAGGTGTGTGCTGTCTCTGCATCCCAGACACAGCTCGCTGGAGTTAGTACTTACTAGCATATTCCCTTGAGGTTGCCAGTTCTCGGGCCAGGACAACCTGGTTTGAGAGGAAAAGGGGGAAAGAGAAGAGAAAAAACACCAAATGTAACCAGGGCAATGAGTCTCACAAGTTACCCCACAACCAATCACACAGGCTACCCTGCCCCCATCATAAAATTACATTTAAATATTTTTGGTCCTGTGTTAATAAATATAGCTAACTGTAATGATCAAGTTAATGCATTCTAATAGTTAACAGCAAACACATATCTCTCTCCAATGTTTCCAGGAGGTTCTTCATCAGCTGCCTATAGTCCCCCATGTTCACCAAAGTGCACACACAGAAACATTCAGACCAGCTCCCTCATCACAGGCCGCAGTCACACTCCCAGCTGTGTCCTCTCTATGGTACACCCAAGTCATTGCTCAAACTCTGCTTGGGGGACAGAGCACCAATGGGGCATCGCACAACATGGGAAAGGGCTTTCTACAAAAGCAAACCCTGGGTGCAACCTGAACACCAACTTCCAAATGTCCAATGAGCCCAGTCTGGCAGTGTGCTGGGCAGCCCCCACTACTGACAGTTGGTACAAATGCCTCTCCTAAGATACGTGCAGGGGGATTGCCCAAGGACCAGAGAGGAAATTAAAATCTGCCCAATTCCTGATATATCCCTGGGCCTTCTGGGAAGACCTCAGGAGGCCCCTGGGTATGAATTATATGCCAGTACAGAATTATCACCAGGACTCATCAGAAGAAATCCTGGAAAAGCACTGTGTGAAATGCCCTGCAGTCATTAAGAATGAGGTTGGGTTGTACATACTCAAGTAGAAAGAACTCAAAACATCTTTCCAGAGGGATGTACTTGTGTGGACTATTCTCAGGTGCTATGGCATGACTGAGCTGATTATGTATTTATGCAATGTCAAATTTCTTCACAGGAGCATGTAATAGTTATGCAAGTAAATAAAAAATTGTTAAAGAGTACTAATATTTAATGGAAACCTTTCTGAAGGATATAGTCATGTCATCTTTCTATTGTGTGAATTCAGCATTTCATAATCAGGTTTCCTTATGAGCACAGGGCAGGGAGCACCCCTCACCCACAAACCAAGGCATGACACATTCTACCGATAGCAGAACTAATCTGAACACCATGATCACCCTCAGGGAACCAGACATGGGGGGATTCACAAGTCCTCATCTCTCAGTCAAGGTAAATGGCCAATGAAGTAAAGTTGAGAAAGGAGAGAACTCTTCTTTTACTGGATCGTTGTAAGAAACCATGAAGAACACCGAGGTTCTCTTCAAAATAGTTTCTTCTTCCTGAAAGGATCTGCAAGTACCAGAAGGACCGGGACTGCCTTCACAATTAAAGCTTTTTATTCCAAGGACACAATTCTTTCATAATTTAAACAAAAACTGCCAATTAAAAACTCTAAATTAAAAGTGTAAAGGGAGCAAAAATTAGCATTAATTAAAACAATGTCAAAAACATGGATGAGCTATAATATTTCATGTTCTTCTTTGTATTTTGAAATATTTCATAACTGTAAAGAGATAAAAGAAAACAAATTTCACATGAGGTTTCTCTAAAAAGGCCAGGCAAGAAAGGCTCATTGTTCAGAAACCCTGCTGCATTAGCGGCCTCCAGCACCACTACCTGGTGTGTCCCCATGCATGCTGGGTCCAGCTTGGACACCACAGAAGCAGGGAGCTGTCTTTTTATGAAGGCATAGATTTAAACTGTGCACCCCAGCTAGGGAGCAGATACTCAGGCCCCCACTGAGCCTGCAGCAAGCCCCCACCACCACAGCCACATGGGGCTGCCACCTCAACAAAGGGGCTGCTTTGAACCTTTACTCCTTTGCTTTAAGAGGAAAAATACCACAGGACAGACACAACTCACTCAGGTAGCAAAAAAGAGTTACCCTGAGTGTGACCTGACAGTGCCGTGATAATATTTGTTTATGAAACTGAGGACACAAGAATCTGGAGGCCGGCAGGTCTTATGCTGTAAGTCTAGCCAAGTGTCAAGGATGTAATGTCTTACATATTTTTTAAAATATAAGAAAAATAATAAAGATTGTTCAATATTTGCCCCAAAACTCTGAAGAGATACTAATGCCAATACTAACTTTTAATCTAAGGAACAAAAAAGCTTCACAGAGCCTTGCCAGTGTGATAAAAGGACACGGAATGTAACCTGCTGATCCCTGGTTAGAATAAAATGAACTGCCATTTTTAAAAAAAATAAAAAATAAGATAAAAAGATACCTTTTAAAGCTTTCATCTACAAAATCATGGCTCATATATTTATAAGCCACGTGATGTGTTTGGTGGCCCCAAGTCAGCCTCACAACAGGAGAGGAACTCCTAGGGGCCTGATACCCTCCTCCAGAAAAAGAACACCCTGGCATCTGGGTCTCCCAACTCTGAGCCTGGAAGGTCAGCCTATCCGAGGGAAAACACACTCATTCAACAAACAACAGCAGCATGTACTCACTGTTGAAAAAGAGCCTTCACCAAGAATTTTCCCAAATTTGAAGTCTTCAGGCCGTTTCTTCCGAGGCTGTGGCGGTGGCTGTGCGGCATGTTGCAGTGAGTTGGCACTTGGTCGGGACTCGGCTGCCGTGCTGTCCATGGTGGTGGGGCCCTGCCTGTTACCACCGCTGGGAACAACAGGGGCCGTGCCGGACTCAGTCTGGGTCCTCACCATTGATGGAGATGGGCAGGAACATAACACCACGCTGGACTGAATAGGAACGGTGTCATACTGGTGGACACAGGAAAAAGAAGTAAGACTCAAAGCAGCTCACTTTTCCTAAATGCACAAACTAAAGTGTTGACATTGTTGAAGCACAAACGCCAAGTATCGGCAGGCCATCTAACATTCTGCCACATGGCTCAGGTTGCTGTCCTCCTCTTCGAAGTCCCTTCCCTGATCAAATCCCAGCCTTCCCTGTCCTACTTTCCCACTGACCCCACCACCTAGCACCTATCTGCCCTCACACTCCTCCCTTAGCACTGCATGAGTCTCCAACACCTCCACCCCACCCAATGGCCAGTAAGCCTGCCCATCACTGCCCAGCTTAAATGCCATCTGCAGCCAACCCCTGTCCACAAAGGAAGTTGGTCCAAATCCTGTGACCACGGTGTCTACCATTCCAGAACCCTTTTGCCCTGCTCACCCACCCACAGCTGATGTAAGACTGAACACACGAGAAAGCACTCAATTAGGGTTTGAGAAAAACAGACTGCCTTAAGACTGCATCCCACAACCACATAGAATTTTAAGCCCTGGAACACGGAAGTATAACTTAATGGAAAGGAGAGTCCAAGAATTGCCAATTACACATAAAATCAGTGGATTAAAAAAATAAAAAAGCTTCTCTAAAAACAAAAACAAAAACCTGTAGTAGAGTAATTGGTTAACAATTTGGAAAATAACTGATTTAGAGCCAAACTGCTCCCTACACACTACATTCAAAATTTTATTTTAAAAAAATTATTCAATGCCATCCCTATTAAAATCCTGACTGGCCTCTTTGCAGAAATTGACAAGCTGATCCCAAAATTCATACGGAAATTCAAGTGACCCAGAATAGCCAAAACAATCTCAAAAAAGAACAAGTTGGAGGCCTCACACATCCAGATTTCAAAACTTACAAAAAACTTATAGTAATCAAGACAGGATGGTACTGCCCTGGTTGGTGTGCCTCAGTAGGTTAAGCATTGTCTTACAAAGGTTGTGGGTTCGATTCCCAGTCAGGGCACATGCTTGGACTGCAGGTTTGATCCCAGGTCAGGGCGCATGCAAGAGGCAACCAATGTTTCTCTCTCACGTTCATGTTTCTCCCCCTATTCCCTCCCTCCCTTCCCTTCTCTCTAAAAATAAATAAAATCTTTAAAAAAAAAAAAAAAAAAAGGATGGTACCAGCATAAGGACAGGCACACAGAATTCAGAAATAAACCTATATATCTACTATGGCCAATTGACTTTTGACAAGGGTGTGCAGACCCTTTAATGGGAAAGAATAGTCTATTCAACAAATGGTGTTGGGGCAACTGGATATCCACATGCAAAAGAATGAAGGTGAATGCCTTTCCCACATCACATACAAAGTTTATCTCAAATGGATCAAAGATCTATATGTAAGAACTAAAACTATAAAACTCTTAGAGGAAAATACAGGAGTAAATCTTTATAATCTTGAAAATGGTTTCTAAAATATGAAACCAAAAGCACAAGCAACAAAAGGGAAAAAAAAAAAAGTCAAGGGACTTCACCAAAATTAAAAACTTCTGTGTTTCAAAGGCACCATCAACAATCAAGTGAAAAGACAACCCACAGAATGGGTGAAAATATCTGCATATCATATTTCTGATAAAGAACGTGTAGCCAGATTATATAAGGAACTCTTACAACTCAATTAAACACACACACACACACACACAATTTAAAAAATAGGATATGGATCCAAATAAACACTTCTCCAGAAAAGAGATACAAATGATCTGTAAGCACATGGAAAGATGCTCAACATCATCAGCCATTACAGAAATACAAATCAAAGCCATAATGGGATTCCACTGGACTCATTAGGATGGCTAGAATAAAAAAGACAGATAATAACAAGTGTTAACAGGAATGCTGAGAAATTGGAACCCTCATACACTGCTGCTGGGAATATAAAATGGTGCAGGCACTTTGGCAAACAGTCTGACAGTTCCTCAAAAGGAACGAGGTACTATATAACCCAGATAACCCAGCAATTCCAGTCCTTGGTATATATATACCCAAGAGAAATGAAAACGCATTTGTACAAGAACATTCACAGCGGGGTTACTCATAGTAGCCAAAAGGTAGATACAATCCAAATGTCCATCAACAACAAATAAGTGGATAAACAAAATGTAGTGTTGTCATAAAATCAAATACTATACAGCCATGAAAAGGTAGGAAGTATGGATATATGCTACAACATAGATGAGAATGAAAAACACGATGCTAAGTGAAAGAGGCCAGGCACAAAAGGCTACATATTGCATGATTCAACTAATACGAAATGTCCAGAAGGGGCAAATCTATATGGACAGAAAGTAGTTAAGTGACTCAGGGACTAGGGGAAGGGAAAAATGGGGAGTGACTGTTAATACATCTGTGGTTTCCCTTGGGAATGATAAAGATATTCTGGAATTGGATGGTGGTGATGTTTGCACAACTCTGGGAATACATTAAAAAACCACTAAATTATATACTTTAAATTAGTGAGCTATATGGCATATATGAATTATCTCTCTATGAGCTGTAAAAAATAGCTGTATCACACATGACTGCATTAATTTATATATAAGAACTCATTCATATCTATAAATCACCAAGACTTTTAATGAAGAAATGGGAAAGGGATAGGCACCAAAGTACCTCAAGTAACAAAGAGAGAAAAATGTACACAGTAGGAGGCAATGGAAGTGACTGGTGAGCCAGGTCCCTGCCAACACCACACTTCTGTTGTCACTGCTGAAGACAGCTCAGAATCACCCCACAATGGTGGAGCTTAAAACCAGGGAGACATACAACAGGCACCTGGTAAGTTGTGACTACTAAGTGAACATCAACCTGTGCGAGGTGACCTGCACATCCAAGGACAGGGATAAGTTCTGGCAGATGCCTCAGTGCTACATCTGTGGCAGCACCATCAAGTACCTCAGCATCCTTGACAAGATCATTGACATAGTCAAGGAAGAGGTGGTGGCCGAGGGTTGTGGCCATGGTGGCCTGCAGCAGCAGAAGCAGCAGAAAGGCCGAGGACTGGGGGTGCTGGGCTAAGTGTGTTTGGCGGCCAGGGTAGAGGCAGGAAGGACCCCAGGCACTGGCAGAGGTCAGCCAGAAAAGAAGCCAGGCAGGCAGGTGGGCAAACAATGAGCCGGCCCTGCATCCCCCCAGAGACTTGAGCTCCCCTTACCCCAGGCAACATATCTGGTCCAGTCCATGGTTTTTCAGAACACAAATGAGGCAGGTGTTGGGGGGACATTTTGTAATCCTCCTCTTTATGTAAAGTTTTGTTTTGTTTTGTTTTTAAAGCCAGCATTCTACAGTTGGAAATGTAATTTGGTGTTTTGATTTTGTGAAGTTGCAGCCAACTTGATTCCTGGAAGGTTCTGTGTGTCAATGCATCTTTAGCGCCCTCGCCCTTGTACTAAGGGGGGCATTTTCCAAACAGGTTTGTTTTCTCTCTCTTGCTGGATCCTTGTGTGACAAACAGATAACAGATTTTCATTTTAAGCTCTTTACTCTGAGACTGACAGTCCAGGGAGCCAAGGAGTTTTCCTGAAACACAGACCTGAAATTCTCTTTTCAAAACAAATCCAGACAGCCATGTGCTTCAGAAGCTGTTGTGGGGATGTGGTTTGGCCCTGCCCCTTTGCTTTCTCTCTTCCAACCACTGTTAATATAATGAAAATGGTTTACTCGACATCGCTGTAACGTGGCAGCCAAGGAAGAGTAAACTGTAACGCCCATGTGTGAACAATGAAGACTTCACTGTACTGGTCAGAGGGGACAGTAGACACTGTTGAATGAGCATGTGTACTGTGCGGCCATCACATTCAAAATGACTGAGCAAGTAGAGCAATGGATCTGCATCAAATTTTGTTTTAAGCTTGAACATTCCTCTGCAGAAACTATTTGAATGATTCCAAAGGCAGCAGCTATGGGCAACTTGTGATTGGCAACTTCATCATGACAGCATGCCCACTCATGCATCACGTCTCGTGTAGTTTTTTGGCAAAACATCAAATCACCCAGGTAACGCAGCTCCCTTATGGCCCGGATTTGGTGCCCTGCAACTTCTGGCTTTTCCCAAAACTAAAATCACCTTTCAAAAAGAAGAGATTTCAGACCACTGATGAGATTCAGGAAAACACAATCGAGCAGCTGGGACAACTGTGTGAGATCCCAAGGTGCCTACTTTGAAGGGGACGGAGGCATCATTGTCCTATGTACAATGTTTCTTATATCTTGTATCTTCTTCAATAAATGTCTCTATTTTTCATATTACATAGCTGGATACCTTCTGGACAGACCTCATCTACACCTACTGCAGCTGGCACCATAAGCCTATGTTGCTGTTAAAATGTTTTTGGAAAGCAATTTGGTAATTTGTTAACAAAGTGACAACAGAAAATAGTTATCAATGAAACACTGAAATACTGAACAGAAGTGGGTATTTATATCCACTTCTGTTCAGTATTTAAAAATTTAACTGGGTTAAAAATTTAGGTGGGTATGAGGAAAGGATCAGCCCTGGCCAACTAGCTCAGCTGGTTAAGAGCGTCATCCTGATATGAAAAGGTTGCAGGTTTGATTCCCAGTCAGGGCACATACAAGAAAAAAACCAATGAACACATAAGTAAGTGGAATAACAAAACAATATTTCTCTATCAATTTTACAAATTTTAAAGGATTAGGTAGCATCAAATCAGAAACACATACAAGTTGTACACACAACTATTAAAAAAATATGTTCTAGCCCTGATCCTGAAGTATTTTAGCAGTGACATCATTAGCCTGCTGACTATCAGACTGTAGTAGAACATCACAAAATCTGCTCAGAGCACCCAAATCTATTTCTAATAGTACTCCCCACTATACAAACCAGGAGAGCACTTGACTCCACGTCTTGGAACAGAAGACAATATGATCGAAGAATCCCTTGCTGGGTCTGAAAAAGGGGTGCCTTCACAAGTTGTGGAAGCAAGAAAGGGCAGGGA